ATCACCTTTAACGCACCTCTAACCACCTCTACTCACTCTAACCACCTCTAATCACCTCTAACACATACACCTCTAAACCACCCTGACACCTCTAATCCCTCTGACTACCTCTAACGCACCTTCTACCCACACTCTCTAATCCCTCTAACCCATCTAACCACTCTAATCACTCTAACCATTCTACCACGCTCTAACCACCTCTAATCACCTCTAAACGGCCCTCTAATCCTTAACCACCTCTAACCACTCTAATCACCTCTACCTTCTAACAAGTCTAACCCTTCTATCACACTCTGCCAACCTAATCACCTCTCACCACCTCCTAATCACCTCTATTCACCTCTAACCACTTCTACCCACTTGTAATCACCTCTAATCACTTCTAACCACTCTAAATCCTCTAACCACCTCTGACCACCTGCTAATCACCTCTAACCCCTCTAACACAACCTCCTAATCACCTCTAACCCCCTCCTACCCACCTCTAACCATTCTAATCACCTCTGACACCACCTCTCACGACCTCTAACGCACTTCTAACGCACTCTAACCCCTTCTAACCTTCTAACCTCTAACCACTCTAACCACTTCTAACGACCTCTGACCCCTCTAACCATCTAACCACTTCTAACACTCTAACTACCTCTGACACCTCTAATACACCTCTAACCACTCGTAATTTACCTCTAACCACCTCTAACCCTCTCACCACATCTAATATCACCTCTAATCACTCTAACCACCTTCTACCGACACGCTTAACCACCTCTAATCACCTCATAACCCTCTAATCAACTCTAACCACGTCTAATCACATCTAAACCACCTCTATCCACTCATAACATCTACCACCTCTAATTTCACCTCTAACACCTCTAATACTCTAACACCTCTAACCACCTCTAACACCTCTAATCACTCTAGATCCCTCTAACCACTTCTAACCCTCTAACACCTTAATCACCTCTAAACCTCTAATCACCTTCTAACCACCTCTAATCACCTCTAACCACCTCTAACATCCCTCTAACCACCTCTAAGCCCTTCTAATACCTCTGCGCACACTCTCATCACCTCTAATCCCTCTAACTAAGCGCACCTCTAACACTTCATACGCTCTAACCACCTCTAACCACGCTCTAACCCACCTCTAATCACCTCTACTCCACCTCTAAGACTCTACCACTCTACCACCTCTAATTACCCTCTACCACCTCTAATCACCTCTACCCACTTCTACCACTTCTACCACGCTCTAACACCACCTCTAATCCACCTCTGCTACCTCTGACCACCTCTTACTAACCTCTTGACTACCTCTGACCACCTAACCACCTCTAACCACCTCTAATCACCTTCTACCACCTAACACCTCTAACCTCTGCCACCGCTCTAATCACCTCTGACCACTATAACCACCTCTACCCCCCCCACCTCTAACGCACCCTCTAACCACTCTAATCTCACCCTTCTAACGCACCTTCTACACCACTCTAACACGCTCTCATCACCTCTACTCCTTCAACCACCATCTATCACCTCTAACCACTCTCACACCTCTTCATCCTGCTCATGCACCTCTAACCCACCTCTACCTCACCTCTAACCACCTCTGAGCACCTCTGATCACCCTCTACACCTCTAACACACCTCTAACCAACTCTAACCACCTCAACCCCTCTAACCACCTATAACCCTTCTAACCACGCTCTGACCACCTCTAACCACCTCTACCCCTTCTAACCAACTCTTAACATCTAACTACTCTACGACGCTTACACCTCTGCACCACCTCTGCCACTCTGACCACCTCTGACACCTCTGGACCACCTCTAACCACTCTAACGCACCTCTAACCCACTCTACGCAAGTCACTAAGTCGTAGTGGGGCTATATGGCAATTGTGCAGAATAAAGTACTAACGTCGTAGCAGGAGGTTGGCAATTGTGCCGTGAATAAAAGTATTTACTTGTCGTAGTGGGTTATCGGCAATTGTCGGAGGGATGAAGTCATAATCATAGCGAGGTATGGCACTTGTGCCGGTGAAGTACTAAAGTCGTAAGCGGGGTATGGCAATTCTGCCAGAATGAAAGTCACTAAAGTCGTCGGGGCGTCTGGCCATTGTGCCTGCTGAAGCGTTCTAAAGTCGTAGCGGGGTATGGCAATTGTGCTGGAATCACGTCACTAAAGTTGTACGCGAGGTAATGGCAATTGTGCTAGAATGAAGTCCTAACGTTGCTAGGCGGGTATGCAATTGTGGCCGGAATAAAGTCCTTATAAGTCGTATGTGGGTATGGCCATTGTGTTGGAATGACGTCCTAAGTTGTAAGCGGGGTATGGAATCGGCTGGAATAGAAGTCACTAAAGCTCGTAAAGCAGGTATGGCAATTTGTGCCGGAATCATATTATAGTCGTGATGGGGTTTGGGGGGCAATATGTGTTAGACATGACGTCTTATACGTGCGTAGCGGGTATTGGCCATTGTGCCGGAATGAAAGTCCCTAGGTCGTAAGCGGGTAATGGCAATTGTTGCCGGACTTTCAGCTATCTATAAGTCGTAGCGGGGTTGCATTGTCGTTTGGAATGAAGTCACTAGAGGTCGTAGCGGGGTCTGGGAATTGTGGAGGAATGAATTCACTAGAGTCATGCGCGGTATGGCATTGGTGCCGGAATGAGTCACTACCGTCGTAGGGGTATGGCAATTCTCAGAATAACGTCACTAAAGTCGTGCGGTATGGATTTCCGGTATGACAGTTGCTAAAGTCGTAGCGGGGTATGGCAATTGTGCTGGACTGAGTCACTAAAGTTGTAGCGGGGTATGGCATTGTGCCGGCTGAAGTCAACTACAGTCGTAGCAGGGTATGTGCCATTGTTGCGGAATGAAGTACTAAAGTCGTAGCGGGTCTGCATTGTGCCGGCTAAGGTTATTCTAGTCGTACGCGGGGTCTGGCAATTGTGCCGGACTGAAGTCACTAAGGTCGTAGGCGGGGTATCGGCATTGTGCCGGCATGAAGTCACTACAGTCGTAGCGGGGTATTGCGCAATTGCGCCAAGATCAAGTCATTATAGTCGTCGCGGGGTATGCATTGTTTTTGCTAGACATAGTCAATATTGGTCGTAGCAAGGGTATGGCAATGTGTGCTGGAATGAAGTCACTAAAGTGTAGCGGGCTTATGGCAATTGTGGCCAGAATGAAGTCACTAAGTCGATAGCCTTCGACTTCGGCTCGCTAGCCCTAATCATAACGGCTAACAAAACCTAAAACGTGGTTTTGTTTTTCATTCAGATTAAATGATCGATACCTAGTTTCTCATCATAACCCGCTCCGTGGCTACTCTATCACTCCCATTACTCATTTATTAATTTTATACGCGATGTGATGACCGGCGCACCAGATGGCAGTCACAAGTGGCTTTCCATTTAAGCGACCTTCTGTGTGAGTATAGGGCAGGTAACGAATTTGGGTGGGACAACTGCGTGTTAAAGCTGGTCTACACTGACACTATTAATTAATTAAGCGGGACAATTAATTATTAATTTTTAATTAATTACGTGGGAAATTGATTATTAATTATGTAAATTTTCCTTAATTAATTAATTATTAATAAAAAATTCACAGCATTGGAGAATTCAGCTGCCTTATTACAGTCAGTAATACGAAGAATGCGAACATTGGCAGAATCAATAAGAATGGCAATATGAAAGATGACATAGCGACTATGAATTCCCCAGTGTTTTCCTTTATGGTCGGCCTCGCCAGATGCACATATCTGCCTATGTTCATCCTAAGTATAGATAAGTTTCCTGAGGGCCACAAATCTCTACATTTATAGGGTCAAGAATTCATCATACAGAATGCAGATCTTGTGTTATTAAGTGCGCTCGCGCGCTGCGCGCCATCGCGCGCCTCGATTGATTACGAGAAAGTGCGAAAAAGCGCAGCAAGCATTATCAAAACGCACACCCTTTTTTTCCCTTTTTTTGTGTGTTTTATTTTTTCATGAATTCAACTTTATAAATCGAAGATTAAACGCAAGATGGTTTAAACTCACAGACTTCGCGGAAGTCGGTTTACATGTATTATAAAACGAGTTCGGGAAGCGCTCTAGAATTGAGAATGATGATTGGTTGTATTTTATAGCTAAGTCTTTATAGCTACTTTGAAATTGAGTGTTGTTCCTTTTTGACTAACTGCTAAATGTGTGATTCCGGGTTCTCCACCATGTCAAGAACTGAATCTTTTGTTAAGATGGACAAAAACATTTCACCTACAAATGTCAAATTAATAGTACAAATGCAGAGCTAATTTTAGCGCAAATGTGGCCTGGCATTTCATGAAGTCTCGTTTTCAATTTTTTCCGGGGGGGGGGCATGCCACCGAACACCCCTAGTTTGCCTCGTGACCTGCGGGCACTCCGATGCAAATCACACACCTCGGCGAGCCAAGGTGTGCGATTTTTCACTCGCCTGCTTTTTCCAAAACACAAGGACTGAGAATGATAACCCTCTGCACGGATGAAGCAAGTCTCCTCGCTCGAGTCATGCATTCAGGAGACATGCTTCAATCACACACAGTGCGTGTGCTGAAAACACGCTGACAGAAACGACGGAGGGAGAAATGTTTATTAACATTCCAAAATTTGTTAGTAACCCGGGAGACGGTAAGTGATTTACGAAGAATTAGGTAATAGTAGGCAGTTGCGCTCTTCAGAGCTCCCGATTTTCGTGCAGGTAATTTGTTGCACAGTTGATGAATAGAGCTTAAAATGACAGCGTTGGCAGTAAATCTGTAATCCGTGCATACGACAAACAACATAGACGGTAAATTCAGAGCGTAGATCGTGCACTTGTTGCCGATACGTTGAAAATACCATCCGTCTGTGGCACGCTGTTTGAACAACGCCGTGCATTCGTTGAATGTCATGTTTGTTGCACACTTGTTGCACAACATTTGCATAACTGTTGCACGATGTTGCATGGTGTCGCGACTGCGTTGTTACCTGCATGTGCGGCCAAGAAGCTTCCAACGTTGGATCGTCCTCCTCTGGATCATACTCCGGGTTTTCACTCGGTGGCAATGTTCGAAACATGTTGTGTGAGACCTGCAACGACGTGACAATACGACCGCTGACGATGACTGCTGGTTAAGCCCTGCACGCCACGCTCGCGATTCAAGCCCTTGTATTTATATACTATTATTATTATTATCGTTGTTGTTGTTATTATTATTATTAACATTTAATATAATTAAGGCATTCTTATATCCAACTGTTGAACAAAAACATTCCGTTCACGACGTTAAGTATTGTGCGCTGCTGTTATTGCTGCTGTTTGTTGTTGTCACTGTCGTTGTCGTCGCGGCTGCTGTTGTTGCACAACCCACTGCCAGACACAGCAGTCGCGCCCCTTACCACCACCGCGACCACCTCACCCCTCGCTGTTAGGACCCGCTGCCGTGCCCCCTCATAAGTACGGTGGCGCTCCCTCGCGACCCCTTATCACTAATGCAACCTATCCACCACTGTGACACGCCATCTCGCCCCTTGCGACGACGACCCGCCACCTACCATGCGCACAACCTCCGGCGCCACCTACCATGCGCACGACCTCCGGCGCCACCTACCATGCGCACGACCTCCGGCGCCACCTACCATGCGCACGACCTCCGGGTAGAGCGGCTCGGTGAGCACGCCGCGGTTGGCCGTGATGTAGTCGACGAGCTCGTTAAGGCAGGCGCGCTTCACCTCCTTGCTCTTCAGGTCGGCGACCGGGTCCATGAAGTCGAACACCATGCAGCACTGCTGCAGCTTCTTCGCAAACAGGTCGGGCTGCTCCGACGGCGGCACATCTGCAACGACGCGAGGCGGGGGTTAGTCTGAGACTTCACGATGTAAGCAGGAGGCAGTACATAAGAATACATGTTTCAATTGTCCAACCGCTCCGACGGCGGCACATCTGCAACGACGCGAGGCGGGGGTTAGTCTGAGACTTCACGATGTAAGCAGGAGCAGTACATAAGAATACATGTGGTTACAATTGTTCTAACGCACAGACGACGGCACATCTGCAACGACGCGAGGCGGGGGGTAGTCTGAGACTTCACGATGTAAGCAGGAGGCAGTACATAAGAATACATGTTTCAATTGTTCTAACGCACAGACGACGGCACATCTGCAACGACGCGTGGCGGGGGTTAGTCGAGTCTT